GACCTTCTACCGAAGGTGGTAACCAATCCCCCGCTGCTACACTGGTTCCTCGCGCACGGCACAAACCCCAACCTCGGCGCGCAGCAGAACAGTAACTTTGATGAGAGCGAGCCAGATCCGCACTCGTGCGTTGCGCTCGAGGCGGCCGCGGCGCGCGGCGAGGTCGACGCCGTGCGCATGCTCCTCAATGCCGGTGCGGATATTAGGTACGGCACACCGCTCCATTATGCGGCGGGCGCGGTGTCGCCCGGCGGAGCACCGGAGGGCCCCATGAACAAGGAGTTTGATGCGAGTCGGATCCCGATTATGGCGCTGCTGGTGGATAGGGGTGCGGATGTTAATCAGAGTGGCAAGTCTAGACTCGTCGCACACCATCCGATCATGTATGCCGTCATGGCGGGTGCGGTGGAGAGGGTGAGGTGGTTGCTTGGGCAGGGGGCGGATCCGGAAGCCAGGGGCGCTTGGGGAAGTGCGGCAGATTATGTGGATGCTATTGGGAGTGACGAGATGAGGCGTGTTATACAGGAGGGGATCATGGCGAAGCAGAGGGCATGACTCAACGCATCCAATGAGTCTGTCCAATGTGGACAGAGTCTTTTGGTCGTTCACGATGCGATAGGTATTTAGCGCACAGCATACATTTGACTGCGGTCAAAATTATTTCTGCTCAGGAGATCCGTGGTCTTTCTCTCTGGATCAGCATGAGACATATTGTTCCCCCGATTCGAGACACTTTGGGCATGGTGTTGTGCCACTAGATTTTAGCATGATCCCTTCAGATAAGCGTTTATTGGAGGTTGCTTTACAGCAAGATACTGAAGGCGATGTCCTTTTCTTCATATCAGAGCATCCAGAATCGATTACATACGCTAATAAGAAGGTAATTAGACAATATTTCTCAAAAAGCTTTTTAGTAACTAAGCAGGGCGAAAAGAAGGTTTTTTATAGATACTAAAAGGGTTTGGGAGATAGGCTTGGCTTATACAGGGCTTGGTCAAGAGGCAAATTCAGGAAATTATCAATTGCCCAGCAATGAATACGGCTCTTGCCCTTAAACGCATTTAATGCCCAAAGAAAGTTGGTGAAAACTAAGACATGGTCTTCAACAGGTCTCAATTAGTGTACTAACTATAGGCACCCGTGTTTTTACTCTTCTGCTACCAACAAAATCATGTAAGTGATAGGACAAGTCTGGGTGTCTGTGCATGTGTACTTCCACCCCCAGGCATTTGCTTTGAGCGATAATTATCTGACTACTCTAAAGTTGAGCAAGGCTTGTTTTTGAGGGCTTATTGTTTATCCCTTTAACTAGCTCACTATTTGGACCTCTCCTGTGGGGTGGGTTAAATATTGAATTTTGTGATATGTGAGGTGCGGACACCTCTTTCCTGGGCTGCTGAGTACTGCTGATTAGCTGTTTCGAGAATTCTACTGGAGCAAGGAGTAAACGTCGTTGCAATGGATTATGAGGGCGGAGCACCATTGGCATGGCTAATATACGCCGGCGACTCTACAGGCGAAATCTTGCCAGCGACTGAAGCTTACCACAGAGACAGGGGCGCGAAAGAAGTCGGATTGAACGGCATCAAGCAGGCCAGGGTTTGGGTCTTGGCTTTTCTGGCTTATTCTCATACGTTCGGCCGCGGATCCTGAGTTTCCGATGACATGAAGTAAGCTGATGTTGTATGTACTATACCTATAGGTACGTGAAGCTGCTTCTTGCTCCCAGAAACCCTTCAAAGGGCCCCGGGAGCAAGGGAACTCCCAGGGCCAAAACATGAGTTCCTAGCATTGATATCACCGTCAACAGGAATGTGACCGGTTTCTTGATAGTGATGGTGGATAGTCTTACAAGCTACGTACGATGTCCTGGGGCTATGTAATTCCAGGAGGACTCACATATTTCCAGGGACAGTTGTTTTTGAAGTCTATACAAACACCAAGTTTGATGGGTGTTTACACAGCAGATCGTTGGTCGACAGCCCCGCAAAACGTGTCCGATGTCTTGGGAGTAAACTAGCTCCTGGAATCTGAGAGGGTCTCTGTGAGGGTCACATACACATAGAGATGGATAGCGTCTCAAGATGAGTAATCTATATTAGGGACAACTATGGTTGACTCTAGATACAAGACGTAGCGCGAGGAAGCAAAAGGAAGGTAGCTTCCTCGCGCGTTCAGGTGAACCCATATACACCATGTGGGTCCCGCGCAGATCAGATCTCCCTCCGTTCCATATGCATCATGTATATCCCTGACACAAATCGAGATCCCAGGAGCAACTAGGGGCTAAGATCACTCCTTGTTTTACTAGGAAATTGCAAAGAGAAGCTGACTTGCTGTGACGGATCGTGAGTCCGTGGCTGGAAAAGGCGAATGCTCTCCCGAAGCTTTGAGTGCTTCGAAAGAAATTCCATTGGGTTTAACGAGACTAATCTCTTAAAGAAGGCACAATGAAAAAGCTACGCTGACAGATATTGGGTTTACTCTGGCTTTGTTGAATGGAATTGACAGTCTATTCATCTCGTATGTCACTTCACTTCGAGTCTCAGCACCCGTACCGGTCCATGATGGCCCTGAATGAAGGATCTCGCAAAAGTTCCATTGCGGTCGGCCGTTTTTCTGGGTGGTAGATAAAGACTTTCGACATGATAGACTGCACATGTTGCCGCTCGACCAGATCAGCATCGGGACGAAAATATGCAATTTTCGCAGCAAGGTCATTGTCTAGATCAGGAGATTGGGCCTGATCGTACCATGAATCAAGTCCGCCGGGGTGTGAGTAGAGACCTTTCCACTGCTCAGGTAGTGGGCCTAAGCATTCAACCATACCACTCACAACTCCACCCTCGAGAAATGTGGGAAACGGAGGAAATGTAAGGTAGAGCATAGAGAAAATAGCCATGTAGCTCCACATATCGCAAGCAAAACTTGGCTCTTGCTTATGGAGTCGATCTGGAGAGCAATAATGCATAGGTGGGTAGCCGTGTTGAGTGGTGAGGTCGCCAATTTTCTTTGCTAAACCAAAATCACAGAGATAAAATTCTTCTGTGCGAAGGTCTGTAGGAACTTTGACAGGGCTCACAAGCTCGCCCTTTTTCCAGAGATCGACAAATGGTATTGTCTGCTTCAAAGGCCGACCGAGTAACTCGTACTTGGCGCTTCTGCTGAGACCATCGATAGGAGCCATTCCCCACATACAGTTCCTTGCATTCAAATCTATAGCATTTTTCTTAGTATATAAGAAAACGAAATGAGAGAATGTCGACTCACCGCGATGTATGATTCCAGCTTTATGTAAACTTGCCACAGTCTCCAGTAATTGTCGAGCAGCAGACATACGAGAGGCCATAGGAGTCTTTTTTAAGGTAAGGGTACAGATGGATGGCCCTTTCATAGGGAACACTAAGACCCTATGGTAACTTTTGTCGTCTCGGGGTAGAAAGAAAGTCGCAGTATATATAACCAGGCGAGAAGTATCCTGTACCGTTTTGATAATCTCATCCTGGATTCGAGTTTCGTTGTCGCCCCATTTCCCTAGTGCCATGACTTTGAGGGCCACGTCTCTCTTGTCTTGCAGGTCAAATGCCATCCAGACAGTTGAGCCACCACCAAAGCCAAGTTTATGTTCAACCAGGTACCTCTCGTTGAGCACTTCCCCAAGGCGAATTGGATAGAGGACATTTTGGTTATCCTCTGTTTCGTACCTATGCCATGGCTCAACAAGCTCTTCGAGATCAAGTTCCTCTTCTTCATCCTTCACGAAGTCACCAAAATCTGTCGTATTTCCAGGGGATGCTTCAGTGTTCGCCATTTCAGATGAATGTGTGTCGATGGCAGAGTGGATGGATAACGAGAAGATTTGGTGAGTCCGAGGCGGAGGGAGATCAAGCAATATAGTGTCATTCGTCACACCGCCCGGTGGTGGGTCATGGATGAGTGCCATGATCAACTTCATGCCAAATCCCCTCCTTCTGGACTCACCATTCGATTCATTGGGCCCACTAAAGGCCAATTTTCTTGCCGCCGCCTATTTAATTCCTGCCGCTTTTGTTCATACTTGTGAGAACGTGGCGCTTCGCTGACACATGATGATCCTCGTGGCAGTCTAGACAACCAGTGACACGGTTTAATGCTCCTGAGGTCGGCGAGCAATCAGTTCAATAGTGCGGTTTTATCTTTCAGATTCAAAATCGGGGGTGGGCAAAGGGGTCGGGTTTCGTAGCTTACCTCCGAGGGGACTCCGTATTCGTTGAGATTTCTCAAGCGCCTCCTTTGAACCCCACTTTTGAATCACTTCGACCTTTTTCCGGAACTTGAAAAACCGATCACATCACATCCTCTAGGCCTTTAGAGAACCCAGTAAAAGAAAACTATATTAAATCAAGCTAAAACAAGATAAAAACAGAAACTAAAACTAGAAAATAAATAGCAATACTGAGAAAAACAAACTTGGGGTGGGGGCAGAGGTGATCAGGACCAAGTAAGCATGTTTCTTCCTGTCCTGGCGCTTACGAGCATAATTGCACTTTCAAAGCGGCAAGCGAAACAATCTATACACAACAAGACTGTTGAGATATAAGCCTGACATCTATAAGCAGCGTTGCTTTTTGGTCGAATGGCAAGGTCCTCTGTTTCAAGAAAGACTAATCCTCTGCCATCGGGGTAATTGTGATCCTTGATACAGGAAACATATGTAGTAAAACCAGGCGGCTAAACCGGACAGAAAGAGCTTCCTGATAGCTCTGACATGACGATCTTCGAGTATGGCGCGTAGCTATTGGCCATTAACAATCACTACATAGCTTGCGTACGCATTTCCCAGAGGGGAAGTAGCTGAGGTTTTTCTGACCTCAAGCGCTACGACAACCCCTGCTGGCTGGACTTCCTGTATATATATATAGGCGTTGGAGACTTCCAAGCGGAACCATCAACCTTGATTCTCTATTTTTACATCCAAAAGGCTCAAGGCATTTTATTTCGTGAATATTCTGATCTCTATCATGTCTCTTTTGAACACCATCCCCGCCGAGTCCTATGTGGGCACCATTGATGGTATCAGTGTCGTTTGGGGCCCAAACGCAATTGCCAACCTACCTACAAACGCTGAAGCCTACAAGGTGGAATTAAATGCATTGAAGAGTGCCACTGAGAAAGTAGCTGTCGCATGTGCTCGAAGGATAGGGAAAACCTCTGTCCGCATCTTGTATGAGACGATATCCAATCCCGGGCTTTGACCACATTCATGGAGTATCCTAATTATTTTGCAGGGGCTCGTTTCACGATTCAACCACCAACACAGCGACTGGTGAAACAACGCCAGACCCATGCCATTGCTCAATTGCCCTCAACCCAGGAGGTACCAAGGCCCATATTTACGTGACTAGCCCCGGACGGTGCCAATCGAAAGCATGAGGGTGGTGGGAGAAAGTGTTGTTCCAAAAGGCTCCAAAATCCGGGACACAACCTTGTCTATTGGTTCCTTACCTGCTATATAGCCTTGGGAATAGTCTCTCTTTTGCATGGCATGCTTGGCCATCGGTCAGCTCCCAGTCGGCTCGATGTACATAGCCTGCTATGGCTTTAGCACCGCGCTTTCATTGTTTTCTATGTTTGGATTTGCGTGAAGAATCGTGCTATGATCCGAGAGTCTTGGAGAATATGAATCTATTACTCAAGCTAAAAGAATACCCTGCATTGTGTCCATATGTGCTATCACGAGTTTCTGCCTACTCTCACTTGTAAACGATTCTTGAGACGAACGTCGTATGAGGGTGGGACTAGTTCCGGAATCCCGACGAGTTCCATACTTCACAGCATTCACAGCACTGTTAGAACAGGGTGTTTTCGGTGCTACTTACGGCTGGGATAGTGTTTGCGCTACTGTGATTCAAATCGCTCTTATCGGATTCGTTTTGTTGTCTTCCGCAACCTTAACCATGCTATGACCCTATCCAGCCACAGCTGTCACATTCCCGGTACGCCCGATATCGTCGAATATTACCTCATGAAAGAAGGGAGCCAGCTTCACTCTCTTGGTCCCTTGATACCGTACCACGTACACAAAAGATCCACGTCTGCTACCGCTTACCAATCTTCGCTTATAGTGACGAGTTTGGGTAACATCTCCAATCGCGATCTTTCACGCGTTTAATATTTCAGTGTTTCTTGGACTCTTTGTGTCCTTGTGATTTGCTGTGATGTTTAGGATGTAGGCCCAATATCGTCGACATAATGACTGCCTTCTACCTACGCTTGCTAAACCCATTTCGTTCATGTAAAAGTAAGACATAGGACAATCAAGAATATACAATCCTTCACCCTTCTCTTGCGTTGTCCAAGAACTCTGGTAGATTGAGTCTGGGAGGGTCGTTCCAGTCGTTGAGTACGCAAGTCAGTCGACCCCGAGATGATTCCAGTGCCTGCTCGAAGAAGCGCAGCCGAGACAGCTGCTTGTCGTGGCGAAGCTGAAGACCATCCCTCTCTTTAAGCAGGTGTGTGCTAGCCTCTTTCAATATCTGTTTGCTCTGCTCTAGCTTCTGGCCATCGATGTGTTTGGACACGCACGACTCCCATAGGCGTCGATAAAGCCCGACAATTCGACCTGCTGGAAAGGCGGACTTGGGATCGTCGCGTTCAAGGTCTGCTAGCACCTTCAAAATAGGTTGAAGGGCTCGGTCACCAAGGTATGTCTTGTTTCTGCTTCCTGTTGCAAGGGAGAGAGCTGCGACGGTCAGCTAGAGCATTGAAAGCTGAGCCGCTTTACTTACCAGTGGAGGGACATGATCAGAAGCCTCCTGCGAATTCTCTTTTTCAGAAACGATTGGCAATGCACTGGGCTGTTGTTCTCCTTCTTTTTCCTGGTCTGGCGTGCTGTTAAGGGCATCCATCTTGATCGCAGGGGAAAGTCGAGTATCTGGGCAATAGTATGTCCACTAATTCTTGGAGGTTTTTATAGACTAGAAGACATCGGTGGCTAGGTACTCAGTCTCATTTTCACCATGGAAGTTAATCAGCGTAGTCAGCTTTTCAATCTCAGCACTCTGTTTGCAGTCTGTTCAATGTGGTGTTGATGATTAATCTCGTGATGTTGATGGTTGGTGAATGTGCCCTCATATTAGTGGCTTCTGGTGATGAACGGATATAATTCAATCACAACGCATTTCAACATTCGTTTGAGAGCTCAGAAATCCCAAACGTAAAAAAACTAAAATCTAGAGGACAGAAAAAGAAAATCGAAAAAGGATATCTATCTCAACCATGATCACAAGTTCAAAAGTTGACTCCCGTCAAGGGCGGCCAAGCTTCAACGGGTTGACTGGTTGAGTACCCGTGCCCGCGCGACCGCGGCCTGACGCTTTTCGCAGCCTAGACGGACAGAACCACACACGGCTCAGACAATCAACACTCGAGCGAGGCCAGAAAATTTCCATGTTCCTTGGATGAAAAAGTGAGTGCCGTTGGTAGAATCAAAGAAAGAACAGCTTCCATTGCCTCAATATTAGGACCGTAGATTCAACAGTGACCCAACGTTTCTTAACCGCCTCACTGACTCATTTTCAACATGACTCTGCACATTTTTCTCACTGGGCAGCTAAAATGACACCAGAATTCCGCTGCAAGTAGTTGAGGTATATGTTACATCAGGCCTCACTTAGGATTAGACCTCCGCAGAGCCCATAAAGCCCAAAGCCCAGCCCAACCCAACCCGCAAATGGGTTGGGTTTTGGGCCCGGTCCTTAGGCCCATCGATGGGCTATGGGCTTGTACCTCGAGCCCACTGTGCGTTAATGGGGGCCCAAATGGGCCCCAAACAATATAAACATGCCGAGAATTTGGATGCCAAGATAAGTTGAACCCCCTTTTTGGTATTAATTAAATTACTTCTGTTTTACGTCCGTTTCTTACCCTGATGCCTAAGGTAATATTTTATTAGATTTAATGATTTAGAATCAATTACTAGCATTCTCTCTATGTCACGTAAAAGAACACGAGAAAACGCGGTATTAAAAAATTTTCAAAATTACAGAGGTTCACCAGAAAGTGGTGGTGCTTCCCTATAAAACCTAGATATATATCTAACATCAAAACATCAACATTCACCTTTTGGGTTATATCTCGACCCCCACCGATCGGATTTTTGTTCAAAATCAGCATGCGTACTCATAGTATTCCCTTTATTTTAAAATTTAAAATTGAACTTCATACGATTGGTGGAAGGTCGTAATACAACGATTACAGAGTCCGCTTTGTCAGCGCTTGCATGGGTTTTTATGGGGGCCCACGGCCCAACCCACTGTGGGCTGTGGGTTGGGTTGGGCTTTGAAGGTTGAGCCCATAGCCCACCGTGGGTTGGGCCGTGGGCCTAGGGTCCGGGCCCATTTATGGGCTTTGCGGAGGTCTACTTAGGATAGACATCGTGTCCTTCAATGTTTGCCACCTAGCAGAGCACGTACGCGACAGGAGCTGAGAAGCCTATAAATACGTCCTCTACCCTCAGCAATTCGTCCCACAATACTGTCACTCGCTGTTTAAAATCGAGTAGGCCCTCGATTTGAGGCACCTGATAAGTTCTTCCATTCATCCCTACTGGAATTTCTAGTGTATTGACATCTGTAAATACACTGTGGACCGACAAGCTAGAAAGTGCTTGTGAGAACGAGATTCCCACCAGGTCCACTATGCCACCCATGGCAGCCGATCAAAGAAGCAGATTTATGTTAGATGGTCGATGTATCTATGCGAACATCTGTCCACCATAGCAACCGACCACTGTCCGGTCCCTGAATATCGATGCAAAAGAGCGATTTCCATACAGGTATGTAGATTTCAGCGCGACCCTATCCGAAACTAGACTGACCTCTAAGACGATGCGAAAGAAAGATCCATGCGTTCCGTCCAATTTACTCCAGCCAGGGAGCCCTTTCCTGTGTCTTTTTTAAAACATGTACTGTAAGTCATGCATTGTCTCGCCGACCAACAAGCTAATGATGGACAGGAAACCCTTGACAGCGCACCAGAGTGAGTCCGAACCAGCATTCCGTCAGTGCTCCGCACAGGATCATGGCTTATACACCTTTCTGGCCCTGTCACTTCAAACCATGCGATATTTCCTACGAAAAATACAGTATGGATGGATGGATGATTTCATTTACGCTGACCCCTCGCGAACGATATGCAGCATACAACAACTATATATCAATGTACGTACATGTGTCGTGTACCACTTCTTAAACGAACTTGGAGCCTCGTTGGGGCCTGCCGTGGCCTCGTAGCCGTTGTTTTTGGATTGTTGCCCTCATGGCGCGCGGCTTTGGAACCGTTGTGATGCTTCTGCAAAGTCCAAGACGGCCTCCACCGTCTTGGCTCGCGGAGCAGTGTCGCTCTCTCGAAGTCTTCCCAGCAGGGTTGATATGTTATTGAATGCGTCCCCGACCTTCTCCCGGAGTTCTCGGCGCAGATGTCTTAGCTCGGGGCAGTCCAGGAGGACGTGGGTCACACTTTCCCGCCCGCCGCAGACACACCGGTAGTCATCACGAAAACGGAACATCTTAGCGTATGTTGATAACCAGCAATGTCCCGTGCGCAACTGTGTCAGGAGGTACGCTCGGTTTCGAGGTAAGTTTCCATAGAGCCGTCTCGTATATTTAGCAGGTAGTGAGTTGTCAACCTTGCGAAGGTGGTTGCCATTCCGGGATTCTTTCCATTCCCTATTCCATTGAGCGTAGATGCCCTTCCTGATGTGGGCCCTCTCGCGCGATAGTAAGGGGTGGAACGGGTGGGTTTGGCCTGGTATGGCGGCCTCTTTGGCTAACCGATCTACCGCCTCGTTTCCGGGTTCGTCGCAATGCCCGGGCACCCACTGTAGACAAATCGCGATGCCGTGGGTCTTGGTGTTCGTGGCTGTTCGTAAGATAGAATGGATAATCTGTTGTCCCGACTTGTTCCCTGGGTTCTGGATTGCTTGTAGTGCTGACATACTATCGCTGAGGATGGTCGCGGATTTAGCCTGCTTGCTCGTTGATCTCCGACGCTGGAGGGCGATCTTGTTGATGAGGTTGATTGCGTACAAGACTCCGATCAGTTCAGCGGCATGTACTGACCATCGGTCCATCTGGCCAACCTGGATTTGTAGGCTTTCGGTTGTTTCTGGCGAGCTATTGTTGAATCCTATAGCTGCAGCGCCGAGGTGACCATGGCGTCCCGAGGCGTCTGAGTAGACGACGACGTCCGACTT